GTGTTGTATGCTCTTTTTCGGATGGAAGGGAGTGGTTTTCCCCAGGGTTGGCTCCTAGGTGAGCAGGAACTCTGAAGCGCTCCTTTGTCCTCATGCCCAACTTGTCCAGCTTGTTGCAGTAGCTTATATCTCCCGGAGCTCTTGTATACTTCTCGTGGACCCCCTAAGCCCTAAACCCAAACTCCTAAACCCAAACCCCAAAACCCTAAACCAACACCCTGAACCCTAAACCTACACCCTAAACCCTAAACCTACACCCCTAAACCTTGAACCCCAAACCTAAACCCCTGAACCCCAAACCTACTCGGGTAACTACCATTCCACGACTCTGAACCCAATGCCTGTATATCCCCTATGTAACGCATAGAAAGGGTTTAGGGTTCAGGGTGATGGTGGTTCGGCACACCGGAACATGGTCTTGGCCCATTTGGGTTCAGGGTTTATGCGGGTTAGAGGTTTAGGGTATATGTCCAAGACTGTAAGTTCAGTACCGGTTTCGTACTTGTTGAGAACCTTGATTTTTGAAAAAACTTCACGAGTTGATTATCGGGTGTCACGGGTTACATGGGAAACCCTGTTCTGATCCTTCCCCTACATCAGCAGTCCCGGTCATCCACAAAGATACTCTCAGCTTTAGGGCTATAGCATCGACACAAGTAAACCCTAAACCCTAAACCCTAAACCCTAAACCGCTTTGAAGAGGCTTCAGTCTTCTCATGCTGATCACCGTCCTCCTTCCTTCTCAGCTTGAATATATGCCTTGGGGCCTGATCCTGCTTGCAGCGATTTGCTTTCCAAGCCTCACAGCACTTGGATTCGCGGTCCTCGTTTCTGGTTCGTGGTTCATCTGGGTTGCTGTCAAGGAACTTAAATGAAGTTACCATAATGAGTATATATAGTAAATAATAGGGTTTCCCCAATATAGTAACTTAATTTAAGTTCCTTAACAGCAACCCAGTAAATGGCGGTTCGATTTCTTGCAAGGCTTTTGTGTCTGCCTGGATTAGTTAGAGTCTGCAGACTGTTCATCCATCATTGGTGTAGGTACACTGTCGAAGCATTGACGAGATCCATCAACAGGTTCGCAACTTCAAGATTGAGGGCTCTCTTTGTGGCTGCTGTGAGATAAACCATGTATCGCGGACCGGTGAGCAAATAGCTTGTGACCGTGAAGTCATTTGTCGTTGTATCGTGGCTTGGTTCGGATCACTGGAAAGGTTCGAGGACCATGTGCGCGACAAGGTCCGCGCGATTTTGGTTCAGCAGTTGACGCGGGATGCCTTCTCCTACTGGCACTTGGCGCAGATGGGCAGCCCGATCATGTTTGCACACCTTGACATCATCTCCAGCCGTGCAAGAGACTGGGTTGCTATTAAGGAACTTAAATGAAGTTACCATAATGGGAATATACAGTAAATAGTAGGGTTTCCCCAATATAGTAACTTAAATTAAGTTCCTTAACAGCAACCCAGGAGAGTACGGATGGCATTCTGGCTACGCAATGAGCCCGCTGTTGTTTATCGCCAGGGATTGCTTCGTTGTGCTACCCAGTTTGATGCTGGTCCTACTACAACTCTCCTACAAGCTGCGGAAGCTTTGTGACACGGCGCTCAAGAGACTTCTGTATTCCCTCCTAATTGTCTTCCTTGGAGTTAGCATGTATGTGGGAGTGCGATGTTTTTTGGCGCTCTGCAAGCATTTCCTCGAGGATGAGGCGCAGGGTGCCAAACAAGGCTTTATGTCCCTGAACCCTAAACCCTAAATGCTAAACCCTAGACCCCGGGCTTTCCAACCCTAATCTATGACAAATTGAAAGAATATCAGGCAGGCTTGCCAAACTTCCTATTAGGGTTTAGGTCCAAACCCCAAGCCTTACAGCCCCCACCCCCCAACAATACCCCCCCCAATCACATCCCTTGCCCATATATATGTATATCCCTCTCTATATTTATGTATCTATTTATTCATCTGCTTTGTTTGTCTATTTGTTTATCTGTTCAATCATCTATTTACGGACTTATGTATTTATATACTAGACACACGCGCGTTCTTCGCGCACGCTTAGTGTCTCCATCCAGGCTACGTAACTGAGCGCAAAGTAAACAGTGGGACGGGAACGATTTTTAAACTTTAAGCACAAGGGTCAAATGCAGACGTAAATCTGCACCCACAGGCGAATGTGGTTTATCCCAGACGCAATTCCCGACTGGGACACTCCTTTATAAGTTCTTGCTCTCAAGACGTTAAGCAACGGAACTCCAATGGAAGGGTTTCAGGTATGGGGACTATGCGTCATGCTTGTATACTTCTAACCCAAAGGGTCCATGTAGCTATATGGTATATACTTGGGCCTTAAAGTAGGTATATGGGAACCCCTTTGGGCCCTAAGTATATACCATATACCTACATGGACCCTTTGGGTAATTAAATCGGCCCTGGAATGGGCACCTTATGAAAGTCGCTATCTAGCCCCTGATAACTGACGGCTTCACCTGGGATACAGTCCGAACTCCCCATGTCCATTTAGTAGTCCCTATAGCGGAAACGCTACAAAATTCCCTATACAACCTCCCTTAAGAGATTTGGGCTCCATACGCATTTCTATTTTTGGGTTTGAATAACGAAATCACCACTTAGGATACCGGGAGACTGTGTGAGTACAATGTCTCCACTACATCACCAGAAAATTATGTCGAGTGCAATGCTTCCACATTTTTTTTTGAAAAATTAGCAAATTGGCCATACAATGTGGAAAAAGCGCACTCTCACGGTGACCCGCTTCATTTTGGTTAAGGTTGAGGGCCGGGATTCAGGGAGGGTAGGAAGGCAGTAAGTCACGAAAAAGGAAAATGCTAGGACCCGCAAGGTCTGAAACATCAGCTACAGTCTGAACTCCCCATATCCACCTTACTAGTACTTATAACACGTACCCTATGCCTATAGGATTCCCTAGCTACCCCTCGCATAATTTGAAGCGGCCCGAATTCTGCGGCTGGGTGCGGTGTGGGGCTTGCAGGTCTGGGCCTCTTCGGTCTAGGAGCCAGTCCTGCAACCGTAAATTTTGGCACCTAGAGGTTTACGTGGTTCTCAACACTGCGTGTGGTCATCTGCCAGTGTACATGACGACGATACTCTGATACCAAGAAAAAGGTGACAATGATACTCCATCGACTTCCGTGCAGCCTTCGGAGGGTTGGGGGTCTGGGGAAGGGTTTGGGGCCTGGAGGCGCATAGCCCTAGAAAGGATGCCAGAAAACCATTGTGGGTTGACCTTTACTATACAGGGCTGAGGCGCGGCCCCTGGAGAAACCGCCTCCCAGGGCCTCACGTGCCTCCTATTGGCTTCCCAAGTCCTTCCAGCAGCCTTCAGACCGCAAAGCTTTTTAGGTGTTGAAGCTTCGGGCGGCCCGGAAGCACTAAAACTTAAAAAGCTTTGCGGTCTAATGATCCTGGAAGGACTTGGGAGGGCCTTGGGAGGCCCCCTGAAAGAGAGAGAGAGAGAGAGAAGAGAGAGATACATATATATATATAGATATGTGTACATATATCCAGTTGATATTATTGGAAAACGTTTAGGGTCTGGAAATGCAGTGGAGATGGGCGGTAGCT